TGGAAGATTTTCTCTAAAATATGTGGTTTCAAGAGTAGTTAAAGGATGCAAAAAAAAAAAAAAAAAAAAAAAAATGGCAGCAGATAGGCCGTTAGAAGTTTCCCGTTAGGAGTATCTGAATAAAAGAGCCCAGAGCGTGGCAGAATGGCACTCTTCTAATATAAACTGTTGCAAGCGCTTTATTCTTTACTGCCAACAAATTATTGTTTACACTACTGTGGCAGTCACAGGAGTGCTTGCTATGACAAGTACAGTGAGCAGACACCCTCCAGCTGCTGCACCTTCATGATTCACCTCAGCCTTCAAGCACAGGTCATGTTGCCCTTCAGTGACTGAACACGGCAGGGGCAGGGGTCCTGGAGCCCAACTTTTCCTGCCCCACGCAGGACTCCGCGAATGGGCCATCTGCACTCTGGGGCTCCCCATTGGGAGACCCTCAGAGGTACATTGTGATCTGAGGCTCCTCCTCGCCAATTCTTTCCTTCTCTCTCTTCATAGATGACAGACCTACATCGAGTCTCAGGCTCTGCTTGCCTACCTCTGCTCTGCTCCCTTTTACCTTTCACAGGTATTTCCCCTACAAAGCTCCTTTTTTTTTTCAGCATATTATGGGGGTACAGATGATTAGGTTACATATGATGCCCTTGCCCCTCCTTCTCCGCCAAGTCTGAGCTTCAAGTGTGTCCATCCCTGGGACGGTGCGCATTGCACTCATTGTATATGCGTACACCCGTCCCCTCATCCCGCCTCCCCCCTCCACCCCCACAAAGCTCTTGTTCTTGGAATTCCATCTCGGTATCTGCTTCCCAGAGGATCTCACTGATACATCCTTATCCACTGACTACAGATAAGTGAACAGTTTGTACAATAGCTAAACCCAGTGTTTCAAAAATGTTCCGTAAACATATAATGATAACTCTAACTAACGCTTTTCATTTTTTATACCACAATAATTTACAAAGAGCAGCAAGTTTTGAATTCTGTGGTCATTTTGATTAACCAACTTATACAATAAAACTCAATGAAATTCAGAGGGGAAACAGAAGAAAGAGTAATTCTCTATTTCTTTTTCTGTCAAAGATAATGTTAAACCAAGACTTCTCCAGTTTCTGCTAACTCTAAATATATATGAATCCCAGATACTATTATATCTAAAGTGCATAACCAAATCAGATCATTTTTATTGCTGAAATTAGCTAGTGAGCTAATATGAAGGAATAATATTGATGTGTTATATAGTTGTCTACTAATTTAACATGATATATTACTAAAAATTTATGTCTATTACATGTCTTAGAAATTCAACTTGAATTTGTTTTCTCACAAGCAAACTGCTCTCCCTGTTTTTAGTCACTTCACATTTTACTCCATTTTACACATACTGCTGGCTTTCCCTCCCCAAAGTGGAGTGTTTAGGAGCTCATTCTCATGAGCCAGAATGCCTGCATTTGTACTCGTTTCCTGTGTGACAAAATTTGGTGTCTGAGAATTAAATGAATTAATATAAGTAAAACACTTGTTCAGTATTCACAGTGCTCAATAAATGTCACATGTTTTTATTGTATCATTCCCCTAGTGAAAAACTTGCAAAAGTACTGTTTCCTATAAAATTATAGATGAATGTCCAATTTTATATATAAATTTCTCTAATCATGATACCATTCTACCTTTATCAGGCTTCCTTCCTGTCCCTTAATAATAGGGTCAAAGAAATGAAAGTTGCTGCACACTCACTATTTAAAAAAACAACAGAAAGGAAGTGTGAGGCATTCAGGAGTGTTAATTTTAATTGTCCCTGGGGTTGATTTCTTGGTAGTAATATCTATTGGAATCTTCTGATTCTAAAATTCAGCTTTGTTTCACAGATTTTTATTCTTGAAATCCTTGAATGTTCAAATTACCAACTATTTATAAAAACACAATGCACACAAACACACAGTGAGTACCTACTATATGAAATAATATTTTAAGCACTTTAAAAGCAACTAATTTAATCAACATAAAAACCTTACTGTGTTATGCACATGATTTTCCCAAATTTCCACATGATGTAACTGAGGCCTGGAGACTTGAAATGCCTCGTTAGGTTCATCCTATTATAATAATACCCCTCGGCTCCAAAGTCCTTGCTCTTAAATCTTACATTATACCTGGCTTTCTTGGGCACAAAGCACACACCCTGAATTAGTTTCTGTCCACTGATGGGTTTCCAGACAATTGGATTGTCTATTTTCCCAAACAGGCTATATGACTGTTTATACTTCTTGCATTGGTGGAAGCTGCCTTTACTCTAGGAAAATCCTTTTACTCTCTTGTTCTCCATACTTTCTGTGGGTCTTAGTTTAGCATCTTTTTTTATGTGCAATGGCAGCACTGGATCAGTACTCCAAAACTTGAAGATTCTAGGTTCATTGCCCCCACTTACTAGATTGAAATTCAGAAAAAAAATAAACTCTGTATTCTAGATCATGTATAAAAGGAAATAGGAGTATCTGAATAGTGTACAAACAGAATCAAATGAAATATTTATGAAAATGCTTTATATACTGTCACATAAATGCATGGGTTCTAGAATCAGACATATCACGTACCAATGATGTGACTTTGGAAAGCTTACTTAACGTCTCTATGCCTCAGTTTCCTCGTCTGTAAAA